GAGCTTATATTTGAACTCAAAACATGCTTCTTCTCTGCTGATTTCTGAACAGATAATAGAAATTGTGAGATACACAATGATATATCATCTTGCTCTTTTATTTCCAGTGTCCAGCGGATCTTCAGGTAACCTAGCTTCATCCTCCAGAGTGAAGATCCCATATCCAAGCCGTTTTATATTCATTGTGTTGCTATCCCCAGACCCAGAACCTACAAAGAAATGTTGCTATAGAACATTCAATGATTTTGAAGCTGGCATAGTTCTATCAATTTTGCGAGTACAATTTGTCAAATATGAATATGAAATGATAAATTGATATTTAATTTGCTATTCATGGGGATTCTTATACCTGATATTGTAGTCAAAATGCCTGATTCTTCTTCTGAACCCTCACGTAATTGAACAACTGTTCACAAAGCTCACCTCATATAGTAAATATTCTGGTTATGCATAGATAGCATCATCAGAAATTGGATGTCTCCAGTCATCATTCAATCAAACCTCATGAAGAGCTGCTTCATCATTGTGTTGAGAAAATTCAGTATCTTCCTGGAAATACAAATAAACCAATATCACTCAAGATCGCAGATTTTGTGAAACAATATGAAATGTTGCTGTACATTTCACTTTGAGAATACAGCAGTATCTGGTTATTAGGTCTGCCATGGCTCTTATTACGCAGTTGAAAAGTCAATCAATGAAATTATTGAACATGTCCTTACCTATTCACGAAATGAAGAATGTGATTTCCACTTGAATGGCATTATTATTTATGCATATAATAGCGTTATTTGGCATGAACACCCCTAACCACTTCATTCTGTTGGCATTTTCACATTTTTATTTGGTTTCTCGAACAAATCTCTCCAATCTCGAATGACAATGAGTGACAGGCTGACAGTGAGAACATTTGTCAACAAATAATGCAGGTTATTTTGAATAGCCCATTTGACACAGGAAATAGATGACGCTACTTGCCGTCCCTTCGAAATTTCATTACAGCAGGGCGAATTTCGCTGAATGAACAGTCATGTATAACCCATCAGACAGTCCAGATATTAAGCCGTCATTGACCTAGTGCAACACCTAGTGTCGGTAACACCGGAACCCATAGATAAACTACACTCTCCCCGGAACCACTCCACATGAATAGGAGCCCAATGACGGCTAAATATCTGGACTGTCTGACGGGTTCTACATGACTGTCCAATCACTCAGTTTATTTGCCGTCCTTTGCGGAGAAGTCATTTGTTTTCTGTTTTATTCGGTTGTTTTCCAATAACATATAGACAATAGTACTTGCAAAATTAATAGAACTATGCCAGCTTCAAAATCATCAAATGTTTAATAACGACATTTCTTTATAGGTTCTGGGGAGGCATCACAATGAATATATATAAAACGGTTTGGATATGGGATCTGGACTTTGGAGGATGAAGGTTACCTGGAGATCTGTTGGACACTGAAAATAAAAGAGGAAGATGATATATTATTGTGTACCCCACGATATGAGCTGATCATCAGCTAATTTAATGGAAAAGGAAATTGTTTATCATTGTATGACTGTCTATGGAATGAAATTATTATATTACTTGAATAAATGCTTTCTATACATATCATCTATCTATCTATCTATCTATCTATCTATCTATCTATCTATCTATCTATCTATCTATCTATCTATCTATCTATCTATCTATCTATCTATCTATCTATCTATCTATCTATCTATCTATCTATCTATCTATCTATCTATCTATCTATCTATCTATCTATCTATCTATCTATCTATCTATCTATCTATCTATCTATCTATCTATCTATCTATCTATCTATCTATCTATCTATCTATCTATCTATCTATCTATCTATCTATCTATCTATCTATCTATCTATCTATCTATCTATCTATCTATCTATCTATCTATCTATCTATCTATCTATCTATCTATCTATCTATCTATCTATCTATCTATCTATCTATCTATCTATCTATCTATCTATCTATCTATCTATCTATCTATCTATCTATCTATCTATCTATCTATCTATCTATCTATCTATCTATCTATCTATCTATCTATCTATCTATCTATCTATCTATCTATCTATCTATCTATCTATCTATCTATCTATCTATCTATCTATCTATCTATCTATCTATCTATCTATCTATCTATCTATCTATCTATCTATCTATCTATCTATCTATCTATCTATCTATCTATCTATCTATCTATCTATCTATCTATCTATCTATCTATCTATCTATCTATCTATCTATCTATCTATCTATCTATCTATCTATCTATCTATCTATCTATCTATCTATCTATCTATCTATCTATCTATCTATCTATCTATCTATCTATCTATCTATCTATCTATCTATCTATCTATCTATCTATCTATCTATCTATCTATCTATCTATCTATCTATCTATCTATCTATCTATCTATCTATCTATCTATCTATCTATCTATCTATCTATCTATCTATCTATCTATCTATCTATCTATCTATCTATCTATCTATCTATCTATCTATCTATCTATCTATCTATCTATCTATCTATCTATCTATCTATCTATCTATCTATCTATCTATCTATCTATCAATCTATATTTCTCAACCATTTTCAAAACTGTGTTTGGACAGAAATAGTTATATGCATTTCAAAAGTTGAGTTTGCACTATTTTTATCTTTTTAGATCTACATGGGGAAGCTATATAGTTAGTGGACTAGTATATATCAGTGTATTTGTATATCGCTACTTCAAAGTTGGGAACCAACTCCTCAGAAGTCGAAACTTTTGCGGGGTTAGGAAGAGCGGGACCTACAGCTTATAGTGGAATACGAGTGTATCAGTGACAACTTAGGCCAAATAATCAATTTAGATTTTTTGTGACAAAATCATCAACGCAGTGGAAAATATTCTTGAATGTCTAGTAGTAGTAGATAGTATCATCATTCTGTGATATTCGCCAGGAAAAAGGAACACAAAATACCTCAAATTGTAGTTGTGGCACTCAAAAAACTCCAGGTGTTGGCCTAGACTGATGATTCTCAGGGATTGAAAGAGCATACCTTAAATTCCATTCCTCTGTCATTCTTGGTGTTGCTTTTTGGGATGCCCATCCTGTAGGTATATGGTAATCTAAGTTTGAATTACTGGCTTGAACCATCAGGCTCACATGAAACAGTTTTCAACTATCAATACTACTCCAACCCTACCTAGCTATTGCAACAACAATGCAGACTAAAGATACCTTGAAATCATGGTAAGTGATCCTTTCTGAATGCATGTCCCCATCCTGATAAGTCGCCATCACTCTATAGTGTCTTCCAAAATCATTGACACAAACTCATCAACACCAGAATTAACACCAGTGTTAGTTCTAATAGTGGAATCGCGGTTGAGATTGAAAATCATCAGGAAAGTGTACATGAAAAATCATATTCTTACCAATGCCTTTCAAAATGAAATTCGACCATTCTTTTGCTGTGGAGTTTATTACTGGGTATGAGATTCGAAAAAGAAAACCCGATATTCGATACGATTATTCATACATTTCATTTCATACGCTAGAAGGCAGTAAATACATGATGAAGACACAACTAGCAAACCTGAATGAATAAACTACCAGTACTAAACACAAAGAAGAATGCTTGATGAATGAGAATCCGAGAAAGTAAAGAAAATCGATATTTTACAGAACACATCAGGGACCTGACAGTGACACAGTTTTGACACTTGATAATAACTCAGTAGTATAACCTATGTTATTGGAAAACAACCGAATAAGAGCTCAGAATAAACAAATGACTTCTCTGCAAAGGACGGCAAGTAAACTCCTCTGGTGGAGAATACACTGAACTGAGTGATTGGACAGTCATGTAGTACTCGTCAGACAGTCCAGAGATATTTAGCCGTCATTGCATTAGCAAGGAATTATTTCTTATAGATATGATCAAATATGTCACAAAGAACTGTTTTTTCCAAATCTCATCCTGACAGTCGTATGCGAAGTACTAGATTTGATTTTTTCAAATATCCGTTTTAGGGGTGAAACGTCAACTCATCCCCATTAGAAAGAAATTATTTCGTATAGATATGATAAAATATGTCCCAAAATTTTTTTTTCACATCTCATCCTAACAGTCGATTGGGAAGCACGAGGTAGGTTCGATTTTTTCAAATATAATATCCCTTTCAAGAGTGAAATGTCATCTCAACCCCATCAGCAAGAAATTTATTTGGTTCACCATATTGGTTTTTCTATATATATCTCACAAGTTTGATTAAATATGACGATGTCAGACAGACTACAGAACCTGCTTACTTTACTGATAAAAAGTGTAGCAAAATGTTAATATATTATTGTTCAGTCAGTCAGTTATCATATTTTTATTATTTTCCTATTGCTTTCAATTGTGTAAAACAATATAGATTCCAATACCTATGATCATTCTCTGCTATTAACAGCCTTTTTATGGAAATGAGACATTTATTCAAAATTTTCAATCATTATAATACAATTTTCATTAAAAACGTGATTTCACTGGTCTTTGGGTAACTTCGGAAATCCTGGCAGATGAAATCCTGCTGCCAGGCAGCCAGATATGTTTTATTAAAAAACGTGACGCCACTGGTCTTCGGGTAACATCGGAAATTCTGACAGATGGAAATTTTAGCAGCTACCAGCTGCCAGGCAGCAGGGGCAGCCAGTTCACACCGTCACACGGCTTTTCCTTCTTACTCGCATAAGTTAAAAAGAGGTGAATATAAACTCAGTGGGCTCCACAGTCCACACTCCACATAAATAACCTAAATTTAAATCATGTAGTAACATTTTATATTTTTTATTATTTGGGAAAGTGTCTAATATTTTTTCAAAAATTAATATATAAGTACTACTGATTACGGAATTTTCAAAATCGAATCCTATAGATAGCTGAGGTGTTATCAAAAGGATCACTGTTGAAAAAGCAAGCATAATGAACAAGGAAGAATTCAAGATAACTGATAAAACTGCATTAGAAAGCAAAAATCTTTGTAAGAACTGTAATAAAATCCTCAATGTAACACCAATTATTTGCATCCTAGAAAATGATTCTGTACGTGAAATATGTGGTAGATGTAGCTATCAAGTGGCTCAGCTAGAGGGAAAGAAATGGAGACAGTATGCCTATGAAAACTTCGCTCAGTTCCTGACATATCCTTGTTCCAACAAAAAATTCGGTTGTGATGCTATTCTGAACTGGAATCAAGTTCTAGATCATGAGATAGCATGCACATTTCAAACCACTGCTTGTCCTTTGTCATACACTCACATTTTTCCTGATAAAAATTGTGACTGGAGTGGAAATGTGAAAAAACTCAATGAACATATTGAAGATGCTCACAAGGATTGTTTTGTTAGTCCTCCACAGTTTGACTGGCTTGATTCCACAATTAACAGTATCTTCTTCACTCATGTAGGATCCCAATTAGTAACAGTAGTGATTAAGCATGAAATAGGGAACAAATTCCACTGTTTAGTAATGGTGAATGGTAATGATATAGAAAGCCAGTGTTATCGTTATCAGCTGGAACTCTTCAATGAGAATAGAGATAATTCTATAATACTTCGCAAAAGCAGACTAGAACCTTTAGGCTGTATATTGGAAAATTTTAAGAATCCAACAAAAATGCTTGAAATTGATGTAGATGTTATTAAAGAAATGCTTAGAATTACCAAGGGCATACATGGTAAATTTGGTATTGTCAGAAAAAATAAAAAGGAGATTCTTCAACTAACTGGTATAAAGGATCCTGAAGTTCTGAATGGATGTACAACACCATTAGCTGGCAAGAGTAAAATCATTCTTCCTGATGAACCAATGCTTCAAGAGTTAGAATGTCCAGTTTGCAATGAGTATATGATACCTCCTATTTATATCTGTCAAGCAGGTTAGTTATCTCAAGTTACCTAATATATAATTGATTTGAAAGTTTATAGATCTCTGAACCTCCCAGTTGTCTTGAAGTTCAAAAATTTTCATAGGAGAAGTGTGTGTTTAGCTTATTGAGTCTAGTGATGATCTAGTGAGGTATGTGATACCTGAATAGCAAGCTGAATAGTAATCTTGAGCATAAATTGATTTAGTTCAGAAAGTGTATAGGCTGCCGACCAGTTAGCAAACTATACTTTATAGATTGCTGACCATTCAGTAGAATACATTCTTTCTGTATAAAATTGGTCTGCAACCCAAAAAAAAAAGAATAGTAAGCTGACTGGTCAGCAGTCTGTACTTTTTTTTGGGATGCTGACCATTAGGTGAAATTCATTCTTTCTTTATATAATAAAAAGATCCAAGACCATTAGTAGCCCAGTGGTTAGACATCGGCTTATAAATCCGGTGGTCCTTCCTGTGTGTGTTCAAATCCCACATAAAATAGTTTTTTTTTTCAATCCATTTTTTTTTCATCAGATTTTTGTTTCACTAATCTGTTAGTCTGTGTAAAGATTACCTCCCAAAACTAGGTTTTACTAAGCAGAAAAACTTGGCATACACATGACATACAGAGAGATTTCACCACATTTTCCCCCAGTATTATTTCAGTCTTCTAAATATCTGGGCCTTTGACAAATTCTAGTAGCTCTGCCTTCAGCTGCATTTCTTATTTATTTATTTATTAACCAGTGAACCCCGTGTAAAAAAAAACATGAATATATATATATCCTATACAACATATCACAGAACATTGATTGATTTATACATATCTACACTTTAAATACAATGAACATTTAAAATGAAAACATTACATTATTGCAAGAATGCGTTTAGCTCTTTCAGTGCCAGTGTTAAAAATGTCCCAGTTCACTCTGTTACTCAGTGTCATCATCCTGTTTATCAGGTTATTGTTTGCATATACAGGGTGTCCCTAGACCAGTGGGACAGTTAAATATCTTCTGAACCAATAGGAATTTTCGAAATATTATAATTTCACATCATATCGCATTATGAGTGCTAACTTCAGGAATGACTATATTTTATACGAGGGGCGCAAGAAAGGCTCACAAAATCGAACATCAATTTTTTCAAATAGAACACCCTGTATTCCACTGCATTTTCATATTCTCCTTGAAAAGCTGAGTTCAACGACCTAGCACACTTGGGGTCTAGCGGGAATGATTTCCGAGATATAGGGTGTGGAAAATCGGGATTTTTCATTTTTGGGAATTTTTTGTGTCGAAACTATTCATTATTGGTCAAAACGGCTTACATGTCCATATCTTAACTTTTGATTCACTATTCACTCGTATTTGATTGAAACAAATACAGGGTGGTGTAGAATTAACAGTTTCAGCCAGAATTCTACACCACCCTGTATTTGTTTCAATTAAATACGACTAAATAGTGAATCAAAAGTTAAGATATGGACATGTAAGCCGTTTTGACCAATAATGAATAGTTTCGACACAAAAAATTCCCAAAATTGAAAAATCTCGATTTTCCACACCCTATATCTCGGAAATCATTCCCGCTAGACCCCAAGTGTGCTAGGTCGATGAATTCAGCTCTTCAGGGAGAATATGAAAATGCAATGAAATACAGGGTGTTCCATTTGAAAAAATTGATGTTCGATTTTGTGAGCCTTTCTTGCGCACCTCGTATAAAATATAGTCATTCCTGAAGTAAGCATTCATATTGCGATATGATGTGAAATTATAATATTTTGAAAATTCCTATTGGTTCAGGAGATATTCAACTGTCCCACTGGTCTAGGGACACCCTGTATAGTTCTATGAGTTTCTAAATTGAATGTGCTGCTATAATGTAATCATTTTTGAGGAACATGAAATTTTAGGTAGGCCAATAATTCAGGACAATCAATATAATTATCACATAATTTTTGAATAGTGATGATGTCAGTGTTGCTTCTATGCTCTTCTAGGCTTTTTATGTTTAGGCGATTTAAAATATTGTCATAATCAAATTCCTCCATAGGAATACCCAGCTTGAAACCAATATAACGCAAAAAAACGTTTCTGAACTCTTCTATTTTCATGATATGAGCTTGGAAGGCAGGACACCACACATAGCTGCTATTTTCAAGTTGAGAGCATACCAATGAGAAGTAAAGGGATTTCAACGCGCCAATATTATGAAAGTCCTTAGTTGATCGTTTGATGAACCCTAGCATCTTCAAAGCTTTGTTACAGATGAATTCAATATGAGGAATAAAGCTAAGTTTAGAGTCAAAAAGTATACCAAGATCTTTCATAATGTCTACCTGTTCAGTGACTACATCATTTAATGAGTACTCATCATTGATAATTATGCTGTGATTTTTGCTGAAAGGAATATATTTACATTTCGGAATATTCAGAACTAGTTTTTTCTTGTGGCACCACACAGAGAACCTGTCCAAGTCCTCTTGAAGATGAGTTGAGGAGGATGGTCTCTCCAATTTGAAATATATTTTCAAATCGTCAGCATATAATAATATTGAACTGAATTTAAAGCAAGAAGATACATCATTAACAAATAAATTGAATAGTAAGGGTGCTAAATGAGCACCTTGAGGAACTCCAGAAGTGATTAAAATTTCATCTGACAAGGAGGAATTAATCTTAACTCTTTGCCTGCGATTATCTAGATAGGATTTTAGCCATGTCAACAAACTGCCTCCAAGGTATTTGGACAACTAAAAAAAAAAGCAAATTATGATCTACCTTGTCAAATGCCTTGGAGAAATCTGTGTAAACTGCATCAACACTTAGTCCCTTCTCTAAGGCATCGACAATGTAGGTCTCATAGAGTAAAAGATTTGTAGCAATAGATCTTTCTTGGCAGAAACCATGTTGTGTTGAGCTGATGATATTTTTGAATTTAAATTTCAGAAAGTCATATACAATAGATTCAAATGCTTTGGGTATGAGCGATATCTTTGTGATTGGGCGATAATGTAATACAGAGTCTTTTCTTCCTGACTTCTTGTAAATTGGCACAACATAAGAGTTTTTCCAAAAATCTGGGAAAGTACCTGATTGAAGAGAATCATTGAAAATAATCCAGAGTGGACGGGACAATGAAAATGCACAAGATTTTATGAAGATTGCTTGTTATACGACGCTATACATAGTGGAGTATACTATGGCCTTGCCAAAAATGCTATCTCAGAAACTAAGCGAGATAGAGGTATAGTTACTTTGGAGAAAATGATCCCCATCGAATAAGGAGCAACTTTGGTTTTTGTGTGTGGTCTGTTTGTCTGTCTGTCTGTACTCTGTGGTAATCATAAATCGATATATTTCCGGAACCCTTTGACATATCGACTTGAAATTTTGCCATCTTATTGTACTCAAAACAATATTATGTCATTAAAATATGAAGGAAATCGGAAAACTCTGAGGTGGTTTTTCCGGGTTTTTTGGATTTTTCACCGTTTCTTGTGACAACTGACCACTCTACAAATCGCAAAAGTGATCCGATCGATTTCATTTTTTGCGAGAAAAAAATCTATCAGGGAGAGACGAAGCCTATTGAAATTGAGCAGGGTCGGGAAATTCCAAGTGGGTTTTTCAAGGAGATTTTCCGAAACACACGGTTCGCTTTAAAATGACATATCTCCTGAACCAATAGACTAAATCCAAATTTGAAAAATGCACCGTATGCCTCTTTGATGACGCAACAAATTATTATTCTACCATTTTTTCGTGCATCCATCGGAACATGGAAAAACAAATGAAAATCAAAACATCAAAATTTGAAATCCTTTCAATTCAATATATATCGAAAACAAATGGAAAAATCGAAAATTATCAGAAGTGCAAAGTTATCCACTGGAACATTTCCTACAAATTATCACCCAAAAATGTTTTCTGTAAACCCCATAGTACAGGAAATAAAGTCAAAAATATGAAAAAAAAAATTGAACGACCCATAGGGTACCATGAAGATACAGGGTAACCCAGGGTTAAACCGCCAAACGTTAAGGGTCGGTTATTTGGGCAAAAATAAGACTTTTTTTTCAATGAACATATGTCATAACTTGCTTTGTTTTCGATATACAAGGTGTCAAAGTTTTCAGAAAAAATTGGTTCTTCATTAATTACGGCATGAACTTACGGCAGATTTCGATGAAACTTGGTATGCTTATTTGCGGTGAAACGGAGCTCCATTTGATGTAGGTATTCCGAATCAAATCATTTCCATTGGCTTCCCAGAAAGTAATCAAAATGATATAAGGATATTTTTGTTTTATTATTTTATTTTATTAGGAAGCTGATAACGTAATAGAGGGTAATCTAACTAAGTCATTGTATGACTTTTTTTTTGTATGTTCAATATTGTTTCATTAGATTAAGCAATCAGAAATATTTCTTCGTCTCTTGTTTTTTCATACCACGATTCTTTTGTGAGAAAAAAAAATGAATACCATTTCCTAGAATTCAACAGGAAACAGCACATTTCAACAAAAATCAGATCAAAGGTAGCCGAGCACAATTTCGCCAATGATTGGGGGTTTGTTTGTGTCAAATTCTGACAACATGTGCCTTGTGAATTTATCAATTCGAGTTTTAATGTATTTTAAGTGCGTTCAAGCTTAGTTTTTCGGAATCATCATTATCATCATGCCAAGTATTCACAGTAAAGCTGAATACGCGGATATTGTGTACGTTTACGGGTACTGCAATGGTAATACGCGCGCTTCAGTAGCGGAATATGCCCGTAGATTCCCTCTAAGAAGAGTGCCTGACAGATCAGTTTTCGCCACTACTTTTCAACGTCTAAGAGAAACAGGTTCAATCGTATTGCGAACTCGAGCAGATGGAATTGTTGCACCTCTTCAAAATGAAAGAAGAACACAAAACATCTTAGAGTTTTTCGATGAAATGCCTTCCAGTAGCACGCCAAGATCTTCTCTTCAATTAGGATATAAACGGAGCACTGTGAACAAGA